CCTTGCCCTGTCTCTCCCGGCTCTCTCCAGAAAAGTGTATGAATTCCTGGCCGTACTGATCACCACAGGGATGCGCTACGTCCTCAGTCAGCAGGTAAGGACCAAGCCAGAGGTGAGCTGTGCTGGGGGAAGGTGAGGGAGGGCTGGCCTGTCAGGCGCAGGTGTTGCCAATGTCTCACTTGCTGGTTCCCACTCCCAGCTCCAGGGGGAGGGGCCGGTCTCCACCTCCTGCTTGGAGACACCCAGAGGCATCTGCTTGGCCTCTGAAGGATGATGGGCCTCGATCCAACCCCACATGGTGATTTTAATGCTTTTGTGTTAAGTAAGTGCCACCTACTTGGGAACTGAAGGGGGCCCACGGCCTCCCGTTTCACATCACTTTTCTGACTGCCAGTAGGGCAGACCCACCCACTGTGGGTCAAGCAACATACCCCCAAGGCCAACACAGAAGAGGGAAGTCCTGATTTTGCTTATAAGCGAGGCAATTTCCCACCTTACCTTATTCTGCCCATGATTTCTCATGATGGCTGTCTTGGGGTTCCAACCAGAGAGGGAGGTTTGCTGGCATGGAATAGTCTTGGAGGGGGTGCGCAACAGCTGGTACCTGTAGGGAGTTTGGGGCCAGCCTAGGCAAAGAACCTGCTTTAGGAGACACACGCTGCACCACGCTTCCCTCCCACTTCCCAGCAGCTCTGATGTCTCTCTGGCTTTCAGATCTGCCCTGTGCTCAATCACGCAGGGCTGGTGCTGCTCAACTCCCTGCTGGACACCGTGCCCGGTGAGTGGTGGGCAGAGGAGCCCTGGCTGCCAAGGAGGGGGAGGGAGAAGATAGGCCAAGCTGGCCCAGGGTCTCTCTCCTCAGCTGTTTTTTCTGTGTCCTGCAGTGCGCAATCCTGTGGATGACCACATTGGCAGCGACTACTCCCTACTGAATGACCCCCATGTCACCACTGACACCATAGACCTGGATTTCAAGGTACCTGCTGAGGGCCTCATGCAGAGGGTTCCCTTGTGGGATGTGGTATCAAAGAGAAATTGGGATGGGCAGATTAGTCGTCCTCCTCAGTGCTGCCAAATGAGAATGGCAGCCACATTTTGTGTCTGGTGGAACAATATACTATGTGCTGAGCACCACGCTGGGTCTGCTGGCCTCCCCTTACAGCTAGTAAAAAAGAATTTTTTTTTCAGTTTGGTAGACCGCCATAGTGACATACTAAATACTAGTAAAACATACAGCGAGAGAAGCCTTTGCAGTGTATCTGGGTCTGAAAGTACAGTAAGCAGATTCTCCCCTGCCTGCAGTCCTCCACCCGTGTTGGTTTGGGGCTCAGTCCTGTCTCAGACCCAAGCAACGAGGGGAGGGGGCTGTGGCCCCAATAGCCCATCCTGGGCGCTCTTCCTGACGTGACCCAGCATCTTCTGCTTCCCAGGGCATGTTCTTCCCCTTGCGAAGCGAGAACGAAACGCTGGCCAATCTGGCTGCAGAGCCTCTCATCACGGAGTCGGAGCGCATGGTCTACATGGCTCTCTCAGAGTACTTCTTCGATTCAGCCCTCTTCTCCTACTACCAGGCGGGGGTGCTGAGCATGGAGTTCGTGGGTGACGAGGTGGGCTGAGCAGAGGTCTCTCCAAGAGGCCATGGCCGGAGGGGCCGCTGGCCAGCAGCAGCAGAGGGAGGAAGGCGCAAGGAAGCTGCTGCTCTGCCCGCCACCTGCCTCCTGTGCCCCATCCTTGTTCCAGGTGCCGAAGGACTTGCAGGTTTTGCTGAGAGCCTCCCTCTTCGGAAGCATCATGCTGATGGTAAGGTGGGGGGTGGGGTGGGGTGGGCTGGGAAGGAGGAGGAGACCCTGCAGGAAAGACCCCATTATCCCAGGAGTAACTGACCATCACAAAGTTTTGTTTTCTCCTGAGCTGCACAGAGCAGGGAAATTCCGATTTCTGTCCCAAAACTTGCCATTCAGCTTCATGTAAAATACTGGGGTATCTTATGAAGGCAGCCCAGTTTCTCCAGACCCCGAATTCCACTGTCGTCGTGCTCCCTGCTTTACTGTTCTTCTGAAGTAAAAGACTCTGATTCTGGCGGCCTTTCCTGGCTCCTGGGGTGGTGATGAAAACTGGCAGCTTTTCTTTCAATCCCTTATTACCGAAAGCCGGAACAAGCTCCCTCCAGGCCCCTGAAGTCACAAGGCAGTTCTTGTTCCTTTTTCGCAAGCCCTCTTCCCCCAAGGGTGCCTGGATCAATCCAGCAGGGCCCAGCTGGCTTTCAGGGCTCGGCTGACCTGGCCCACGTCCCCTTCCCCAGAGCCCTGAGGTGGCGGACGCGCCCCTGACGCTAAAGCTGCGGGTCACCGAAGCGCCTCGCTGCACCATCAGGCCCTCCGGCACCTCTGTCTCAGTCGCGGCCCTGTTCAACATCTTCTTGGCCCCCCTGGACCAGCCCCTGATCCTGCTCTCCAGCCTGACCATGGTGAGCCCACCCGCCCTGGGACCCCCCTCCCTGGGGGTTCCCCTCCCACCCTTCTGCTGCCTCTGGTGCTGAGCAAGGGCCATCCTTCCGGGCAACGGTGGCTTTCGAGGGTCAGGGCTGACCTTCCAGGCTGCAGCAGGCCGCTCCAATGAGGACAGGGCCTGACTGATGCCGAGGGAGGGGTCCGCAGGCCGTGGTCTGGGCCCGCCCTATCCCATTGCGACCTCTCTCCCCCACAGGAAGCCCGGTTGAGCGCCAAGGTGGTACTTCACAAAAAGGCTCTTCGGGTGCAGCTCGACCTCAGAAGGTAGCGCTGTCCGTCATGTCCTGGGGGGTGGGGGGCAGAAGATGGGGGACCCCGTCTGGCAGAGCTTCTGGCACTCATCCCCACCCCTGCCCCCTTATTCAGGTTCCGGATCTACTCCAACCAGTCGGCGCTGGAATCCTTGGCAGTAAGTCTTTTAGAGGCAGGCAAAGGAGGGGCACAGCCCGGAAGCTAAGTCCATCTTGACTGAGGGGGGCCCTGGGACTTTGTCCCCCACAAACCCCCCTTCCGCAAAAGGTGCTGTGCCAGGGCTGGACTGGTCCCAACCCCTCTCCCGTCCCCCCCAGCTCATCCCGCTGCAAGGCCCTTTGAAGACTCTGCTGCAGATGACCATCATGCCCTTCATCAACGGTAGGCACAGGGAGGGGCCGTCCCACGCCACTCTGACTGACGGCGACGGGGGCAGGCAGGAAGTCGGGGGGGGGCTTGGTCCTTCGCGTTTGGGTGTATGGGCTGCAGAAGAGGGGCCGGGGGGGGAGCATGTTGTGCATGTGCACTCACACGCTCTGAAGGTTCAGCGATGCCCCAGCCGGGCATCTCGCATGGCTCCAGGCAAAGCAGCCCCCTCTGTTGCTTGCAGAGAAGACCAAGAGAGGTGTCCGGATCCCGCTCCCAGAAGGCATGGACTTCACCAAGGAGGTTGTCAGGAGCCACTTGGTAAGTAGGATCCCTCCCAGCACGGCAGAAGAGCCGGGCTGCCTGCAGAGCCCCCTCAGGCAGGACCCGTGGAGCCCCCAACCCCGTTTCTCCTTGCCTCTTCAGGGCTACCTCACCATCGGGGCCGACCTGCATTTCAGCAAAGGGCTGCGAGAGGTCATCGAGAAGCTCCGGGCCCCGCCTGGCCCTGCTCCACCCCCCATGGCTGCATAGGGGCTCCGGGTGTCATCCCCACCAGCTCCGAACTCCTCCTCCTCTCCCTGCAGAGCTGCATGAGGGGCCTTTGGAAGCTTCTGGGGCGCTGAATAAAGAGCCCGCTGCCCGCCTACTTCTGCCTCCTCCCTCCTCCTTTCGGAGCCCAGGCGCGGGGAGTGCGGGCGGGGAGGGCTCTTCTCCAGGCCCTGCAACAGCACTGCCAGGCAGGCTGGCCCGAGCACACTCACGGGCCCATGTGGGGAACGTGAAGTGAGGCCTCCATCTTGGCTGGCAGCTGGCAGGGAGCCAGAGGATCCTCTGGGCCAACGCCCTCCCAGGGCTCCGGGCCTCCCAAGCATTTCAACCCTCCTGCAAAGGGGAGCCCCCCCAGCATCTGTTTCATCGTGGAACAACAACTCCTGTGGAGAATGCGCGGATGGGCCACAGCCTTGGTGGTCTGGCCGTCCCAGGAGGAGCTCATCGGGGTGGGGCAACTCAGTGCAACATCTGCAACACCTCTGGATTTCAAGCAAAAAGGCCCCCGGACTTTCCTGGGTTGATGAGCTGAGGGGGATGCTGAGGGAGCAGAGCCCTCACCCCGCAAGTCAGAGGCCCTCGTGCCGGCTGCCCAGATATTTGAACCGGTCCTTGGGCTGAACCAGGCCCTGCCCTCACCCAAATCCTCCGTTGGCCTCATTTGGGGGCCCAGCTGGCGGCAGCAGCCCAAGATCCCCCGCTACCCACCCGTCCCAATCCCTAAGGGGAGCACCTGGATAGTCGCTAAGAGATGCGACCATGCGGCTCTGGAAGTCACAACTTGGCTGCAAATTCGGGGGAGGTCCAAGGGGGTCACTGCCCCGGTCTGCTCCCCTTCCTCAGGGCTTGGCCTGGGGCCTCCCGGGAGAGGCAGGGGGTGGGCCGGTCAGAGCTAAGGCTGCCTGCTCAAGCCCCTTCTCCAGATCCGCCTGGGGTTGGTGGGCACCCCATTCCCGGGTGGGCAACCCTCTGTGCTGCAGCTGGAGGGCAGAAGGGAAAGCCTCACAGGGCGCCTCCAGCAAGGCCCTGCCGCTTGCTCAGCTCCCTCCCGGAAGAAAACGCACGGCTGCTGCTGCCCCTCCCCACCAGCTGTTTCGGGAGCAGCACAGAGGGCAGGCCTGCGGGGGGAGGAGGGGGAGGAAAGGCTGAGGCCGGCCACTGCTTCACACAGGATGAGGAGGATCCTTAGCGACCAAGAACCATGGTCTGGAGCCAAGGCAGCCCTCTCCTCCAGAGATCACACGCTCCTTTCCTTTAGAAAAATAGTAGTTTAATCCCTTGCCTGGGCCAGAAACCAAGGCTCTTGGCCTCAGATCCAGACCCTCCTCCAAGAGCAACCGAGAACCAAGGCTGAGAAACGGTCCCTCCAGGGACGAGAACGAAGGGGAACTTCTTCCTCCCTGAGGACAGTGCAAATGTGCAGAGAAGGATGAGGGAAGACGGAAGCCGTGCAAGAAGACCTCCTCCGTGCAGAGGCCCTGGCCAAGGGGACCAAGCCCCCCCGGCCTTCTGCAGAGGCAGCAGGTCTCCCCAGCAAAGAGGCTCTCCCTGAGCTCTGGGCTTAGAAGGGCTGCCGGGTGAGGAACCGCTTAAGCATGTTGAAGGCCGCTCGTGGCTGGTCAGCGGGCACCATGTGGCCAGCGCCCTGCAGGGGGAGACACGAAGCGAGGGTAGCCTCACCGAGACCTTGGGTGGGCAAGCTTTGGTCCTGGGAGGGCCCGGGCTGCAGCCCCCCACGTTACCTTGACAGTAAGGAAAGCGATGTTGGTGAACTCCTTCACAAAGCCCCCGATCTGCTCCTGGCCGTCCTCATCTGTGAAGATCCAGGGCCGCCGGGCCACCTCCACCTGCCAGTGAGAGGACGGCTGCGGTGAAGAACTCGAGGCTTCCAGGGGCCAAGAGCACAGCATGGAAAAGAGGGGCCTGGTGGGGCGGGGTCACAGCTGGAGCCGGCGAGGAATCCGCAACTGCAGGTTGCGCCCCAGGACCCCCATCGCCTTCCTACCGGGTCCTTCCACGCATTCCCCAACCCGCAGGGAGAAGCCGCAGGCTGATCGACGCCCTCTGCGTAGAAGGTGGCCCAACTGGCCCCTTCCCAAGAGAGACGGGGGGGTCTGCCCAGGGCACAGCATAGGGCAGAGCAGCAGGGGGGTGCCAGAGTTGGGCACTCCGCCTGCCCAGCCCTGATCCATGGGCACGGGATGGGATTCTCCCACAAGAGTTGCCCCAAAGACAGTGCTGGAGACAGAAAGCAACGCCAGCTCAGCCCACCTTTTGCTGCAAGGACTCCACAAACCATTCGTCCCCCAGGAAGTTGCAGGCCATGTCCACATCCCCGTTGTACAGCAAGATGCGGTATTTCTGCAGCAGAACCAGGCCACAGTCAGCAGGGCCCCCAGGGGGAGCGCCAGCCCGCTTTTCCCTCCGCTGGCGGGGAGGACAGCAGGGAATACTGCCCCCCTGCCCAGTAGGCCCCCTGCTCACCCCATCAACTCACCCCAGTGCTGAGCAGCTTCAGGTACTGGTCGTTCACGTTCATGTAGAGGCGCTTGTAGCCGCGGCTGACGGTGAAGCTGAAAAAGAGCACCCGTTTCGTGGTGGCCTGGAGGTGCCCCTGATGCAACGAGAGCTGCCTAGCGCCCCCCCTCACCTGCAGATCTCCCACGCCGGTGCGTCATCCTCAATGTGCAGAGCGTGGCGCACGTCAGGGTTGTTCAGGTAGAGGGTGGGGCCCGTAGTGTTAATGCAAGGGGGGTCCAGCCGCACCTTCTTGGCAACTTGCAGGTTCAGCAGATTCTGGGAGGAGGGGGAACGATTTGAAGCACAACTGCTCTAGCCTGCTTCCACCAACGATCCACATCCTCATTTATTCATTCATTCATTCGTTCGTTCGTTCGCTCATTTATTCTCCGGGGTTTGCTTGGTCAGCTGCCTTCAGGCCATTCAAGGGGCAAAGCAAAACTGCCTTAGGTCGCGGCCTCTGCGGAGTGAGGGGCTCCCGCCGCTGCTGAGACGCCCAGGCAGCCCTCACGGCTGCTTCCTTCCCTTGCCTTCCGGCAGACCGGCTTAAAACCGAGGCCAGCCTGAGCCGGGGGCGGGGGGGAGAGCACGGACGGTGCATGCAAAGTTCGCCCTGCTTTCCCCGGCTGTTAGAAGAAGGGCGTTTCTAACCCGGTGGGCTCCTGGGGGTCCCCAGGAGAAGTCCCCACCCTGAAAGAGGCCATTTGTGGCTGCTCCCAGAGACCCTCCAGCAAAGGGTCTCCCGGCACACAGTCTTGGGCTCCCCCAGCAGGAGTTCTGTCTGGGGCCCCACGCACCCCAAGAAACCCCCTTCCTACCTGCCTCCAGGCGCTACGCAGCGGCTGCCAGATGAAGGTGTTGCCCAGGTCGTGCGTGACAATGACCCCGTCCAGGTCCCTGGGAGCCGGAGAACAGCCCTGAGCAGCCTTCCGAGGCCCCGACCCGCCCCCTCCACACAGGGGCAGCCTTGGCAGTGCCTAGGGTCCCACACGCCACTGCCAGGAGCCGGGGCGGGGGCAGCCTGCAAACCACCAGGCGCTTACCGGTATTTTCCTGGCACTCCACCAGCACAGGGGGCGTAAAGGTTGTAAATGTTGAGGCCCGACTCGTCGACAATATGGATCGTCTCCGACATCTGCAAGGAGCGAGAGAGCAGAGGAGCAGGCCGGCCTCGAGCGGGACGCAGGCCCAGACTCCCTCCGCCGCCCCAGGGGCGCTCCAGGCCCAGCCCAGCCCAGCCTGCAGCAGGGAGCGCCCTGGCCGTTCTCGCCACTCACGGCAATCGTGCAGTTCGTGTTGGGGTTTTTGTGAAAGTTGCACTTCCCCTGGGAGCAGCAGTAGCGCTGCAGGTCCGTCCAGAGCCTGTGGGACAAGCAGCACAGGGCCTGCTCAGCCGCCTCAGGGCCCTTCCAGTCTGCTGCCCCGCCAGCCGGGGGGCCGAACCCAGCCCCTCCCCTGCCCAGGACCCCGCGGCATCGCCAGCCCCCAAGCAGATCCTCACCGATTCCCCAGGAGGCCGTGGTAGTACGCAAAGTAAACCAGGGAGTTGTCGTTGGTCTCGTAACAGGAGAGCCCGTTGCCCACCGCGATCCCCTGAAACACACCGTCCGGCGACATCAAGGCGGGCCCTGCCGCACTTTCCCTCCGAGACGGGGCGGCGCTGACTTGGTCCAGGCAGCCGGGCCCTCCCCGCTGCTGGGCGGCCTCGCGTGACAGGGAAGCAGGGGAGGCGCCGGCTGGGAAGTCTGGCACCGTGCCCTGGTTTCGGTTCCCCAAAAGAGCACCTGACGCGAGGCTCGGGGGGAAGCAACAGCAGCTGCTGCTGCTCAGGGGAGCTGGTCTGGCTACTCTAAATCTCTGCAGAGCTGCCTAGGGCCTGGGCAGTGTCCTCTGGGCACCCCCTCACCTGCAGCCGCCACCCCGATCACGGCCAGGCCAGGCCAGTCCACCAGGGAGGCTGCTCCAGGGGACAGAGCCACTGGTACACCCACCTTCAAGTTGAGGCTGGGGTCCTGCATGACCCACTCCGCCAGGGTGGGGATGTAGATCCCCCCATAGCTTTCTCCGGCAAGGTAAAGGTCTCTGTTGCGGTGCTCTGGAAACAGGCCAAAGAACTCTTTCAAGGCCAGGTAGTTGACACGGGCCACCTGCGGGGGAGAGAGGGCACTCGGCAGGCAGCGGCCAGGGGCGAGGAGGGCAGGGCCCGCGGCAAGGGCCAGGACTCACCTCCGTGTCGTTGGTCTGGTAATCTTGGGTATCGGAGTAGGAGTAGCCAACGCCAACCGGGGACTCCAGGTACACGATGTGGGCGAGCTAGAGGGGAGACACGGAGGAGTGATGTTCCGTGGGGAGCTTATCCTCCCCGTCTCTCGTGCCCTCTGGTGGCGGGGCAGGACACGCCCCAGCAAAGCTTTCTGGGCTGGAGGGCTCACCTTATTCCAGGCGTATTCATTGTACTTCAAGCTGGCCCCATCTGGCTGGACCTAAAGGAGAACAGAAGGCCTTCAGGGCGAAGGACTCGGCCCTCCTCGGTGAAGACCCCCGGGATGCCCGCAGCCATTGGCCCGATACCAGGCTGTTTGCCCCCTGGGCACCTTGGAAGGTCCCCTGGCAAGGGCTGCCAGGCCCAGCTGCTGCCACAAGTGAGGCAACAGCTGCAGGTGTGGGTGTGACCTCACAAATGCCAGAAGCACAGGGGCTGGCCCTCCTGCAAGGCCCCCAGGAAGGCTGACGGGGGGCTCCCCCCAACCTCGGGAAGAGAGGGCTTCTGCCTGCCTCCCCACAGCCCAGGCATGGGGCCGCCGCGGGGGGGGGTCCCGACCGTGAAAGGGCCGTGCTCGGTCAGAAGTCCGTCTAGGGAGCTGCAACCGGGGCCCCCGTTCAGCCAGAGCACCAGCGGTTTGTCCACAGCGCCGGAGCGGGCGTCCTGGGCCTCGACGAACCTGCCGAGAGAAGCAGCCG